GTATGCCATACTATTAGGTTGGTCATGCTATTAGTACAAGATAGTTCCATTTCGATCGGTTTCACTCGCTCGCCTTGCAAATTTCACATAGTTATAAGTTGCGCTTTAGTTCTAATTTCTTTTAGGTTCGAAGAAGGACCTTCAAATGGTCATCTTGAAAATGAAGACGGGAAGGCGAACGAAGATAATAATGAGGATATTATACGAAATAAGAAGAAACGTCTCAGAAAACCTTTGAACACTTCAATAACCAGTATTTGAGGCCAAAATGTTTCTATTCACATATAATTGTATGCTCGTTTTTTTCTTGATTGAGATATCCTGTCACGATGTGGCAGATGTCAAAGACAAATTTGAAAAACGTATAGAAGAGAAATCAAAAGTTGAAAAACGCCTTGATGTACGTACGCACAGTGGGAATGCATGTTTCTAGAATGGGATAATACGATAAAAAAATCGAGGTTGAAGATTAGACCGAGAATAGCAATGATAAACTCGTTTAGATTCTCTGGTAAAACGTCTGTTGCTCTAAGAGGAGCTCTCTTGAGGGGTGTCAGAATGTCACTACGCAGTGTACTCTCAAAATCTTTAATATCGATTTTTTTATCATATTACCCCATCCTAGAAAGATGCCATACCACTTTACGTACGTACATCAAGGCGTTTTTCAACTTTGAGTTTCTCTTCTATACCTTTTTCAAATTTGTCTTGTTGGTGTTGGCGCAGTTTCTTCTTGTCTGCGTATTTTAAATGGATCGTCTTTACGTTTCTGTCGCTTTTAAGATGGTTCTGATAATGTCTACAGAAACAACACGTTTATGCAAAGTAATCTGCCAGTACAAGGACCAGTAATAAACGTGTTTTAAATCTTCATTGAAAACATCAGTTGCTTTTGAATTTGAACTATCAGTAACGTGCAACAGAACATCATCAGCAAGCAATCTCGTTACTGATTTCAAATTTAAGAGAATATCATCGATATAAATGAGAAATAACAGGGGTCTTAAAATATATCCCTGTGGGACTCCACGATTAATCTTTCTCCTAGAGGAAGTAGTACCGTTCACTCGTGTTTCTATAAACCTATCAGAAAGATGTGAAGAAAACCATTTTAACATATTAGATGATACATCTTTTTGTCCCAGCTGGTAGAGTAAGCCAGCCTGCCACACTGAATCAGAAGCTTTTTTAAAGTCAAGAAAAATGGATCCAGTTAGTTTCTGATTTTCCATTCCTAGCTCCACAGCATGAAAGAAATCAATTAACTGATTAACTGTAGAATCACGATGTCGAAAACCAGAAAACCAACAAATGAAGCTAACAGATTATTTTTAGTTACGTAGTTATAAAGACGGGAATATACTACACTTTCCAAAGGTTTTGAAAATATATGCAGTAAAGTAACAGGTCTATTGTTACTCCTTTATTCAAAGATGGTGAACGCTGGCAGCCGAATAACCATGGATCTGTTACTTTACAGCAAATAACTTTATTTCCAAAACCTTTGGAAAGTGTAGTACATTCCCGTCTTTATAACTACGTAAATAAAAATAATCTGTTAGCTTCATCGCAATCTGGAAAAAATTGTTTGTGAAACAAGACGTGGTTACAATCTGAAACTGTTGAATCCCTTGTCGTTTTACGTGAAACACTTATCAATAATATATGGCCAAAGTAGACATTGTGACTACTAATTTAGATAATTACAGAATGTACTCTTATCTATTATAGGTTTTTTATTTGAATTTACATCAAAAGCGAACTTCTTTTGTTTATACAAAATATTGATTTAGATTTTAGTTCAACTGACTCACATTCTGAATAACTGTAAATAAAGTTCACAGTAAAGAAAAACAAGAAAAAAGTATTTGTATTTAGGCAGAACACGATCCAGACAAGCCGGTACCGGTACGAAGTTTGTATACTAGTGATCGGTACCGGTATCGCATTTCACCTTTGCAGTGACAAAAGGTTCGTTTTAGCTTCAATGATGTGTTTGAATTTAGTCTTGAGAGACTAAATGACTAACTGTAACTGTGTTATAGTGTGTACATAAAGGCATAGATTGCACTCTAATTATTTGTGTCAACTTTTTTATGCACCGGGGAGGTTTCATCAACCGAAAAAGTTCTTTATTCTTTGATAAAGCAGTTTATTCTCACGGAGAAGTATAGTTTGTTCGTTGAAAATTATATTTCTCTAATGTTTCATGTAAATAATCTTCAAACATTTCAAACGAGTTGAAAAGTTTTCGAACAATAATGTTAACTGTTGATGTTGGGTTCGAATAATCAAAAAAGTCATCCGGAGTCCCCATTGGTATCGTTGGAGAAAAATGTGGATCAGGATAAGACCATGTGTTTGGTATACGATTTAATAGAATCGTTAGCATACCTCGTGGTAATGCTGCTGATTCAATATAAGTCGCCACAGTAAAGTAGTAAAAGTAACTGCCTTGTGTTACTGAACCTCCGTTTGATTTCGCTGTTGTACTCTTATACTGGAATCCATGTAGTGCCAAATCAACAATTAACAGTTTTTCTAACACATTAGCATAAATACTAGACAATTTATTTCGATAATCAGCAGATAGAGCAATATCAGGATTCGTTGAACTTTCGAATATATAATAGTTTTTATCTCTATTGTATTTTTGTTCCATGATAAAATCGAGGCGTTGCATGTTTTTATTGGTTATGAAATAAAAATCGTAATAGATACCACTATACTTATTTAATTTTAAACTTACTGGTGGATAAGCTTTCAAGATGGATTTGGATATTTCTGAATCGTTAGTTGGTGCATATTTTTCTTCATCTGTAAATTAGAAGAAAAACCGATGTAGTCGTGTTATTAGTTTCCATTTAAAACCGTAAACTTATCTTTACCGAATTGTGCAGTACTTGAGGACAAAAGATAGATCGGCGTTATTGTCAGGATCAAAATTAACATTATTAGGATCTACAGTATTCTTACAAACGGATATACCGACTGTTTCTGCTAGCTATCGCGAAGTATCTACATAATTGTGTTATTTTAATATGCGCCATTCGCGTAATAAAAAATTTGTATAATCGATAAGAAGATTAATGATATAGAGCTAATAGGCGTAGTAAAAGAATCAACAACAACAAATTTGAAGTATGTTTTTCTACCGTTTAAATGACAATCTGTCGAGAGTTGAAAAAGCACGGATTTGTGAGTATTCAGTATTCTGATGCGAGAAATTCTAGTTAGAAGTTTAATTCAAATAGTAACACAATCTAGAGTGTCCTCTCAACTGAAAAACACTGCATATTTTCGATTGAAAACAAAAAATAAGAAAGAATTGAGAAACAGAACAAATACGTGTACCTTAATTGCTCACCTGTGATATTTTGTTTTCTTTCTTATCTAAATGACGGTGTTATAAAGAATCCTATCGAAATCATGCAGCCACAACTTTTTTCAAACTTTGAATATAACTGTCTCAGAAGAGTTATTATTCTTTGATGAAATAGATTTACAATAAAGATAACAACAATTATTTTCGCAAACGTATCCGGATATCTTGACAACACGTATACAAGCGTGTTTTATTTCACCAAATATATTAGAGCTACAAAAAAACGATGAAGTTTTCTTGGATCCTATTATTTATATCCTATGTCCTATCAGCAACAAATTTTCAGTTTCTATTTGGTTTGCGCCACTTCTGCATAATCAACCGGCGAGAACTCCAAACAAGTCAAGAATGAACCACAGACTAAAGAAAAAACTGTCTTCCATTGGAAAGGCGTTATAGAGTTCTATTGCAGTTGTTTCGACTAAAGTTCTCACTGTACAAAACGAGTGTTTTACAAAGTCCTGATGTTTCACTATGTTTTGCTAAATCGGTAGGTCAACTTTTTCTGATTCACTCTTAACTTGTTCGGAGTTCTCGCCAATCGATTATGCAGCAGTGGCGAAAATCATGTCACGATCGCTATAAATTCCTCTTATATAATTTTTTTAAAAGTAATATTTATAGCAACCGCGATGCTTGATTGTGTTCTTTTAGTTCAAAACTAAGACAAGCTATAGTATATCTCTGCAAGAGTTGAAAGTCCGCATAGAATTTTTTGTTCTCTATTGCTTTTCCTTCGTCTGTTTCTGCTCTAAAACTTTAAGTGATTCGTGTAGTTAGATTGACTCACAAGAGACATTCCCAAGGGTGATTCTGGATTTTTAATGCAATATATTAGATGCAGTAAAGTCAAACACGTTGATTATAAATATGACAATCTTCTAAAGGTTTTCTATAGACCTGCTAGAGAACCTTGTAAAGACGTTAAAAATATCAGTAAGGTGCAGCTAATGCAAAATTCGAGTGGGTTTTATTTTTCAGTTTGTCATACATATTCTGCTTCGTCTTGTTCAGCTGATCACGAATATCACCTTTAAAATATTTAAAAGTCCTTTTCTCATGGAGAAAAACTCGAAATACTGCAAAGGTCGAAAAAATCGAAAAAAATCACCTTTATCGTAGAACTGACCTTTTTGCAGCAGTGGCAGAATTCCTACATTTCAGATATTCTACAGAATTCTATAGAATTCTATATTTTCGCTGTGAATTCTACAACAGCTCATTCACAGCTGAAACATGATAAGTCCGAGTTATTCTCAAAACAGAAATCTAGGAAATGTATAGAATTCTATAGAATTCTAGGTTACTACTGTACGTAGAATTCTATAGAATTCTAGGTAAGCATAGATATATAATATATTGACCAAGTTTGAGTCAAGCGGAACTGTATAGAATTCTATTGGATTCTATCAGT